CAAGCCAGCGCCTAAAGCTACAAACTCTAGGCTTTCATCTTCCATCTGCAGGGCAATTAGATTGCAAGGAAAGTAACAACGAGAGATATGGAGACATGCACCTCAGAGACAGCTGTGGGAATCAGACTGGATCTGCACTCAGGCCTGCTGGAAGTAACAGACCATTGCCTCTGGCATCGGGATGGAAACCTCTGCCAAACACACATAGGAGGTCCTGCTCTTCACTCTCTCCTCTCTCTCTCCTCTGCCTCTCTCTCTCTTTCTCTTGCTTTCACTCTTGCTCTCTTTCAAACACACACACACACACACACTTTCACACACACATACACACACCTTTCAGAGGAGAGGTTCTATAAAGTTTTTCACATATGGCAAACATATTTTAGGGGAAGCACCATGACTAGAGGCCAGTGGGAGAGGAAAAAAAAGAAAATAACGAGAAAAATCTTCAATAAGTCTAAATTGTTCCAGTCGTACTGCTGAGAAAGAATGCAAAGGATTGGAGATGAAAATTATTGGTAAAATCAATATTATAACATAGCTAAATTCTTTCCATACTTCAAATGCTTATTAGAACTCATTCTAATATACAACAAGAGCACCCAGGGAACTAGACTTCATATTTAGTTGTAAGTACTTTGCTTTAACACAATGGATAGACATGAAAAGAGCACATTATGTAATATTTAAAAAAATACTTTTCTCTAACACAATTTCAAGAATTATTAGTTTTACTTATAAATAGCTGTGTGTGTTGCAGTGGATGCAGGTATAACTAATTTTAGTTAACTGGCTCTCAACACTTTAAGTATAATTGTTTTCTAAATTCCTGTCCTCTAAGTTACATATTTAGTGATCAATTAAATGCTTAAATGCTTAAATGCCCTACAAAACTCCCAAGATAAAGGAACTAACAAGAAACCTTGTTAAAATTTAGACAGCTGATCTCTGAGCTATTTTTTCATAAGTTGAGAATTGAAACAACTGACTTGAGTTATTGGTACAATAAATTAGATCATCTGAACATAAAATAACATGATGATAAAAAGTAGTGAGTGGAAGAAACATGGGCCTGATGTTTTCAGGGGCCTCATTCTGCAGGGGCTTTCTAGAAACTGAGTTTAGACTTTTGTCCTGAGGGTAGGAGAGAGGGGCTGATATACTTTAAGTAGAAAGATGACCTTGGCTACGATGTGGGGAATGGACTATTAATTTTCAGGACTGAGGCAGGGTGAAAAAGTAACTTAATTGTCCAGGCAAGAAATCATGAGGGATTTGAGGTCAGCACCAGTTCTCTGTTGCTCCTCTGCCATTTGCTCTTGAGGAAATGCATGTGGGGGGCAGAATACAGTTCTCTCCTCATGACTGCAGCTTCCAAAGTGGTACCTTAGGAAGAAAAAAAGAGTCCTGGATTTGCCACCTACAAGCTGTGGAACCTCAGGTAGCTAATGAAGAAGATATATTTGTTAAGTATTTATTAAGGACCAAGAATCTCTTGAAGATGGTTTTAAGTATATTTTCTAATTTAATTAATCTTTTCATACCTTAATTTATTTATCTTTAAAAGAAGAGTAATGCCTAACTCACATGCTGTTTTGAGAATTAAAAGAGAGGTCTATATGTGAAAAGGCTAGTAAGTCACACATTTAAAAATATTAGTTTTCTAATAAGTATGACTTTCGATGTTGTTTTTCTCCTAGGTCTAAGAATGCTATGTGTATTTTCTTGTCAATCCCCATCTACTGGAGACTCCACAGGTTGACTCCACAGACAGTTGTTAATTATTGATTATTGTATCACAAGACATAAAATATGAACAACATGATGATTCTTTCACCTTCTAGAACACTGCATATATAGGGCCTGGTGCTTAAAATAACAACTGTTTCAGGCAGACTAGCTTATTTGATTAGACTTCTGCTTAAGAATGGTTCTAAGAAGCAAAAGCCATTTCATACCTTCAGTTTCAAGAAAAAGCATGAGGAAGAACTTCCCGTCATGCTCCAAGAACAAATTGAAGCTTTATGGCCATTCTCAAGGAATTGATGTCTAAGCACTCTATAGGCAGTAGGCAAGCATAGTTTCTATTCAAACTATTAAAAATGGTGATAAGCAACTATGTGAGATGATAGTTTATAGACACTAAACATCAGCTAACACACATTAGTGCAAGGAGAAATCAACAAAAAATTAAAGTTTACTTTTATGTTTAAAAATCTGATTTTATAACAAATAGAAGAAAATATATCAAAGGCATTAGAAAAATGGGAGCATTAAAAGTCAAAGCTTTTAATTTTTTTGAAGTGCAGAGAGTAAGAAATAAAACACAATTTGATCAACAAATCAAAAGGTATATAAAAAAAGAAACTTAAGATACATAATGAAATGTAACTTGTAGACCTTGCAATCAAGGAACATCATTCGAACAAGCCACCTATAAAAGATATTTTGGGAGAAGCAGCATAATTTGAATACAGACTGGGTGTTAAATGATAATATGGAATTATCATTACCTTTGTAGGTGTGATGACAGTATTGTGGTTAGGAAAGAAAATTTCTTTAGTTTAAAGAGAAGCACACTGAAGTATTTATGGAGTGAAATGCCATGACATATGGCATCTGCTTTAAATCTTCAATGAGGAAAATAACATCAATGAGACAAATCACAAAATGCTAGTAAGTGATGGGAGCACAGTGTGCTATTATCCTTTCTCTTTCATATATACTTTATGTTTTCTTTATTACATAAAGAAGGAAAGAAAACCTGATAAAATATCCAGCCCATCCAGTGAATTCTAATAAGGTTGGTTGCCCGAGTTAAAGAAGGAAATCACCCAAAGTGTATCCTGAGGTCAGAAAGACACTTTTCATACTTTCTTTGTGGGACAAATCGTGGAAGTGGGCTAGTGAGTACTTCCCTCACATTTTACTGGCAAACTATCCAAATTCCCCTGACGAAGCTGAAGCCAGGGTAGGAGGAACAGAATCGTGAGGCCGTTTAGAGTTGTACTAAGGCCACTGAGGAGACAGGCAACACCAGACACCTGCACTCTCCCATCTAGACCCATGACCACTTTAGGAATAAGTTAGCTTGCTAGGTACCATAAAAAATCATAGGGAAGGTGAATTTTATTGTCCCTCACTTATGAGGTAGTTCTCACAAAGTCTCCTGGATTCTGTGTTACTTTTTCAATTGCTATTTTGAACAACAAAGTACTATGTGTACCTCAACTACTGCAAATATTAGATGCTTATGGAGATCATTGCCAAAAATTCTTTACAAAGGAGAAAAAATTAATCATGTGGTAATTTTTGGGAGTATGAGCTCAGAGTGCAAGTACTGGATGTGATTGTAAGTAAGCTTTAATTTTAAAGGTTACTTAAATAAAGCAATCTGACAAGTGGTTACTTTGTGGAAATTAGATAGTTTTACCTACAGGAAGTATGGAAATAAGTACTGAGAATACAATCTTTAGAAACACTATCACAGAAGGATCAAAAGAGAGTTTGTATCAGAAACAGCTTAGCTGGAGTGAAGATGATATGCTATGGAAAATGCATTAGATAACTTAAAAAGTAGCTCTAATGATGACCAGCATTATAATGTCAGAGACGGATATGAAGAATTTGAGGAAACATTGTTCTATGAAATATGAAAAGCACCTTTCTGTGAGGCAGAAGGTGAGAGTGCTCCTGAGGTAGGATAACCAAGAGGGTGAGAGATCTGGGGACAAGTAGTTTGAGGAAAAGAAGCCCTACGGGGTAAGGACCTGTAGGGTAAGGATGGAGTATAACAAATGCCTCTAATATGTGCAAAGCAGTCATGTGGAAGACAGTGTTGATTTATGATGTATTTTCAGAGAGCACAAGTTGAATGAATGGAGTGAAGTTACAGGGAGGCAGGTATTTTCTCAACATAAGTGCTTCATAACAACAAAATCTGTCCAAGATCAAATTTGAAAAGTCCTTGGTACTTAAAGGCTTCCCAACCAAGGAAGGAAATTGAAGTAAATTGCCATTAGATTCTACTATTTTTTCAAATTATCTCCAAGTTGGCAACATGTTTAAGTTGATAACTGCATTTCTTTTTTGAAGATACTCTTTTCTTTTATTACATATTTTTAAATGTTTGTTTTGTATGAACTAGTATATTAAGTTCTATGGCAAAAAAATATGTAAAAATAATGATTGTCAGAAGTGTATGATCTAGGAAGGAGATATACACATGAACAGCACACACTACACATGAATACCCATTAGCATGTGCTGAAATGTGTAACCATTCCTTTGCTGGGCTTTGTCACGCTGTTAAAGCAAATATGTAATGAGGGCAAGATCTAGTTAAAATTTTCTTCTCCTTTGCTAGGGAGTCTCATAAGTGTCCTGTCTCTAGTCCAGGCTATTTGCCTTTCCAAAAGTAAACTGATTCATCCATAGCGAAGATATGAGTCAAATATTTTGGCTTTGTTCTGGCGCCTTTCTTGGCTTGGAATCAAGACACTGGACATTGTCTTACTATTCCCAGCTAGTTCTCTCAAATCTTATCAAAAGCTATTATACAAAGAATGAACAATGGGAATTATCCAATAGGCCTTCCAATGCAATACCCAGTAAAGCAACAATGGACTTACATAAAACCACTGGTTGCTAAATTCTACCCTTGATGACCAGATTAGTCAAAAGCATGAATTCATCAGTTTGAATGCAACCCAGTATAGAAAAATAATTCCAGGGTTAGAAGGACTAATAAGATTCAAGTTTTTGGTACATGAAACACTATAAACTCACCAAGTATAGTGGAGGAAAAGATGAAAAATAATTCTGTATTATAATGACAATGATATGACTTCAGGGAAAACATGAAAATGAAATAATCACATTTAATGAAGTCACTCTGGAACAATTTTTTAAAAACCTTAAAAACAGGAGCTATATAAATCATTCAAATTTTTCCTTAAATAACATGAAAATATGTCTTGGTTCTTATCATAGAAGCTGACCTGAGATTGTTGGAAAAGGATGCTTTTCTCTGGGTTTATGCCACAGGCAAGAAGAGCAGCAGTCATGTCCAAAATGCTCTGCCGAAGGATGGCTGGGTCTTGGGGGACAGTGATGGAGTGAAGGTCAACGATGCTGTACAACATGGAGCCATGTTCCTCCTGTAATCTCACCCAGTTATTAATGGCTCCGAGGTAATTGCCAAGGTGGGGGATTCCTGTAGGCTGAATGCCAGAGAATACCCGCCTCATGGCATCTTTCTGGAACAGAGGAAAATAAACATAGCTGCTTTAGAGGCAGAATCTACAAATCCTATGCCCATGTTAAGTTAGGATGGCTAGTCCTATTTTTTAAAACTGTACTCTGACAGTCATCATCCTAATGCATTCATTTTGTGTCTACTCTGGGTAAGGCACTATGTTAGGTGCTAACCTAACATATTTAAAATGTGGGGGGTTTTTTGCACTCTAAAATTACAAATACAAAGGCACATATAAAAGGGGCTGCCTGCCCAAGAGAATGCAATCTCATTGGAGATATGTTTATGAAAAGGTAAGTAACAGTAATATGTGGCAGCATGTTCATGATCAGTTTAGAAACATACATAGTGGGGTACAAGCAGGAGTTCACATGAGGAAAAGATGACTGGATCCGGGGGTCAGTGAGAAAACTTCAGACAGAATAAAATTTCACTGGCGTTTAAAAGGGCCTCAGGGTTTTTCATGTGATTTCATTCATTTGGCAGTTAAGGCAATAAAGGACGTAGCATAAGGCTAAAGGTTATTGCTATTCACCTAATTTTCTTTAAAATAATTGCTGATATAATTTAGTGTGCAGTATCTCAGTCTGGAAATCAGGAAACCTACACTTTTTAACATTACTTCGTGATAAAGTTATTTAACTTTTCATGCTTCAGTTCCTATTTTGATAAAATCAAACAATGCTTTTTATTTCTTCAAAGGAGTTTTTAATTCTGTGTAATTTTTTAAATTATAAAAACACTTTAGTCATGATCATGTTTTCCCACTGGTTTACACATTCTAATACTGAAGTTATAATAGGAAAATGAGAAGAAAAAATTTAATACACAGTGAGAAAAATGTTATTTTCCCCTTGAATGACTGTGCATTCTATAGTGAAAAACCAAAAATGAGTGTTTATCAGTAAATATTCTGTAACCAAAAGGTTCTGAAAAAATAAAATGCATTATTATCACTTTTAATGACAAAAAATACTAATTACAGCAGCCATCATTTGCTAGACTACTATGTTGCAGGCATTTATGCTCAATTCTTCATATACATTAATGTTTTTAATCATTACGATGTCCAATTTAGGAAGCATTTTATTATCTCCAGTTTACACATGAGAAACACTGAGGTTCACAAATCTTAATAGACTGCTATGGTCACAGAGCCAGTAAGTGGTGAAGATGGAGTATCAAGCCAGATATCATTGACTTCAAAGCCAATGTCTGTTCTTTCCACTGGCTACCATGTTTTGCTTAGCCACCATCTATTAAGACATAATTACATTCACTGTATTAATTTGGCAATCTTTCTGTAGATTTGAAATTTGAAAAAAAATTTACAGAGGTGGCATGGGAAGAGGACATTCTGATATCTTTGTGTATTGTGTGCCAACTTTCTCTAGTGTATATACCTTATTTATATATAATGAGGTACAAATTATGTAAATTCAACTGTATCACAGTGTTATAAACTATTTCTAAGTAACAACTTGTGATTTCTATGACCAATTCCTGCTTCTCCACATTCTCAGTATTTTTCCAGTATTGTAATGTTTTTTTAATTTTAATTTTAATTTTTTTATTTTGGTATCATTAATATACAAATACATGAGCAACACTGTGGTACTAGATTACCCCCATTATCAAGTCCCCACCATATACCCCATTACAGTCACTGACCATCACTGTAGTTAAGATGCTATAGAATCACTACTTGTCTTCTCTGTGCTATACTGCCTTCCTGGTGACCCCCCGCTACATTTATGTGTGCTAATCGTAATGCCCTTTACTCCCCTTCTCCCTCCCATCCCACTTCCCCACCAATCCCTCTCCCTTTGGTAACTGTTAGTCCATTCTTGGGATCTGTGAGTCTATGGCTGTTATGTTCCTTCAGTTTTTGCTTTGTTCTTATGCTCCACAGATGAGTGAAATCATTTGGTACTTGTCTTTCCCCGCATGGCTTATTTCACTGAGCATAATATCCTCTAGCTCCATCCATGTTGCAAATGGTAGGATGTGTTTTCTTCTCATGGCTGAATAATATGCCATTGTGTACGTGTACCACATCTTCTTTATCCATTCATCTACCGATGGACACTTAGATTGCTTCCATTTCTTGGCTACTGTAAATAGTGCTGTGATAAACATAAGGGTGCATATGTCTTTTTGAGACTGGGAAACTGCATTCTTAGGGTAAATTCCTAGGAGTGGAATTCCTGGGTCAAATGGTATTTCTATTTTAAGTTTTTTGAGGAACCTCTATACTATTTTCCACAATGGTTGAACTAGTTTACATTCCCACCAGAAGTGCAGGAGGGTTCCCCTTTCTCCACAACCTCGCCAACATTTGTTGGTGTCTGTCTTTTCAATGATGGCGATCCTTACTGGTGTGAGGTGATATCTCATTGTGGTTTTAATTTGCATTTCCCTGATAACTAGCGATATGGAGCATCTTTTCATGTGCCTGTTAGCCATCTGAATTTCTTCTTTGGAAATAGTCTGTTCATATCCTCCACCCATTTTTTAATAGGGTTATTTGCTTTTTGGGTGTTGAGGCATATGAGTTCTTTATATATTTTGGATGTTAACTCCTTCTCAGATATGTCATTTACAAATATATTCTCCCGTACTGTAGGATTCCTTTTTGTTCTGCTGATAGTGTCCTTTGCTTTACAGAAGCTTTTTAGCATGATGTAGTCCCATTTGTTCATTTTTCATTGTGTTTCCCTTGCCCAAGGAGATGCGTTCAAGAAAAAGTTGCTCATGTTTATATTCAGGAGATTTTTGCCAGTATTATCTTCTAAGAGTTTTATCATTTCATGACTTATATCCAGGTCTTTGATCCATTTTGAGTTTACTTTTGTGTATGGGATTAGACAATAATCCAGTTTCATTCTCTTACATGTAGCTGTCCAGTTTTGCCAACACCAGCTGTTGAAGCAGCTGTCATTTCCTCATTGTATATCCATAGCTCCTTTATTGTATATTAATTGACCATATATGCTTGGGTTTATATCTGGACTCTCTATTCTGTTCCACTGGTCTGTGGGTCTGTTCTTGTGCACCAGTACCAAACTGTCTTGATTACTGTGGCTTTGTAGGTAGAGCATGAAGTCAGGGAGCATAATTCCACCTGCTTTATTCTTCCTTCTCAGGATTGCTTTGGCTATTCAGGGTCTTTTGTGGTTCCATATGAATTTTAGAACTATTTGCTCTAGTTCATTAAAGAATGCTGTAGTTGTTTTGACAGGGATTTCATCGAATCTGTAGATTGCTTTAGGCAGGATGGCCATTTTGACAATACTAATTCTTCCTGGCCAAGAGCATGGGATGAATTTCCATTTATTAGTGTTCTCTTTAATTTCTCTTAAGAGTGTCCCGTATTTTTCAGGGTATAGGTCTTTCACTTCCTTGGTTAGGTTTATTCCTGGGTATTTTATTCTTTTTGATGCAATTGTGAATGGAATTATTTTCTTGATTTCTCTTTCCACTACTTCATCACTAGTGTATAAGAATGCAACAGATTTCTGTGTATTAATTTTGTATCCCACAACTTTGCTGAATTCAGATATTAGGTCTAGTAGTTTTGGAGTAGATTCTTTGGGGTTTTTATGTCATCTGCAAACAGGACCAGTTTAACTTCTTCCTTGCCAATCTGGATGCCTTTTATTTCTTTGTGTTGTCTGATTGCCATGGCTAGGACCTCCAGAACTATGTTGAATAAAAGTGGGGAGGGTGGGCATCCTTGTCTTCCTGATCTTAAAGAAAAAGCTTTCAGCTTCTCACTGTTAAGTATACTGTTGGCTGTGAGTTTGTCATATATGACCTTTATTATGTTGAGGTATACTTGCCCTCTATACCCTACTTGAGAGTTTTTATCATGAATGGATGTTGAATTTTGTCAAATGTTTTTCATTATCTATGGAGATGATCATGTGGTTTTTGTCCTTTTTGTTGATGTGGTGGATGATTTTGATGTATTTTCGAATGTTGTACCATCCTTGCATCCCTGGGATGAATCCCACTTGATCATGATGGACGATCTTCTTGAAGTATTTTTGAATTTGGTTTACTAATATTTTGTTGAGTATTTTTGCATCTATGTTCTTCAGGGATATTGGTCTGTAATTTTCTTCTTTTGTTGTGTCTTTGCCTGGTTTTGGTATTAGAGTGATGTTAGCTTCATAGGATGAGTTTGGAACTGTTCCTTCCTCTTCTACTTTTTGGAAAACTTTAAGGAGGATGTGTATTAGGTCTTCACTAAATGTTTGATAAAACTCAGCAGTGAAACTATCTGGTCCAGGGGTTTTGTTCTTTGGTAGTTTTTTGATTACCAGTTCAATTTACTTGCTGGTAATTGGTCTAATCAGATTTTCTGTTTCTTCCTGGGTCAGCCTTAAAAGGTTGTATTTTTTTAGAAAGTTGTCCATTTCTTCTAGGTTATCCAGTTTGTTAGCATATAGTTTTTCATAGTATTTTCCCATAATTCTTTGTATTTCTGTGGGGTCCATAGTGATTTTTCCTTTCTCGTTTCCAATTCTGTTTATGTGTGTAGACTCTCTTTTTCTCTTAATAAGTCTGGCTAGAGGCTTATCTATTTTGTTTATTTTCTCAAAGAACCAGCACTTGTTTTCATTGATTTTTTCTATTGTTTTATTCTTCTCAATTTTGTTTTTTTCTTCTCTGATCTTTATTATGTCCCTCCATCCACTGACCTTAGGCTTCATTTGTTCTTCTTTTTCCAGTTTCGATAATTGTGACATTAGACTATTCATTTGGGATTGTTCTTCCTTCTTTAAATATGCCTGGATTGCTATATACTTTCCTCTTAAGACTGCTTTTGCTGCATCCCACAGAAGTTGGGGCTTTGTGTTGTTGTTGTCATTTGTTTCCATATATTGCTGGATCTCCATTTTAATTTGGTCATTGATCCATTGATTATTTAGGAGCATGTTGTTAAGCCTCCATGTGTTTGTGAGCCTTTTTGCTTTCTTTGTA